AATTTATTAAGGCTTTGGCAAAGCCATCAGCCTAAACATGAAGTTTAATTATGTTTCTGTAAATATGGCCGCCACAAAGAGGACAGGCAATTTGAGACGGCGTGTTTGGATTGACTCGTGATTCCGTAAAACGGGCCGATACGGGTATTTTACTCCAAGATTCGTATAATTTCGCGTTTTAATCTTCGATTAAGGCACAATAGCACTATCCTATTTCACTTTAAACTAGATTTCACAAAATAATTGAAAGTCAAAATAAAAACGACACTTTTCCCTCCAAAAAGTCCAGAGCGAATCATATCTTCCGTTCTCTATTTGCCATAGACAAATTCAAGCGGAAACACCTACATAGGTCACGTACCATTTGAAGATTTTGCTACAAGAAGTCTTATGTATTAAAAAGGTATAAAAATTACTTTGTTTTTTTTAGTAAAATAATGAGGCCAAATTGTCACTCTTTTTGTTATTAAATAATAAGTGCCTATTTGACTTCCATCTCACCCGATGGAAATTGACGATGAAGAGGCGGGGAAGTACACATCTAAAAATGCCTATTTACTTTCGCCTTGAAAAGGCCCAAGTCTCCTGCCAAGGAATTTCACTCAATAGCTGTTCGCCACATTTATGAATGTGGAAGCGAAACATTTCGTGCGAATTCTTGGAATATCCGCACCATAGGAGTGGAACCCCAGCCTACGTGTGGTCTCCTGACGATGAATTTAACACAAAAAAGCTTTTCCTTTTAAAATAGTAATGATATATTGATAGCATTTTAATAATAGGCGGGAAAGTTATACGTGAATAACGTCCGGAACTGGTGAATCGCAAAGGCGCATTTCATTATGACAATGCCAAATCACACATGTCTTTACAAAACCGTTTAAAAACTGCTACCTCATCCACCGTATTCGCGCGACATAGCCTCTGCCGATTTTCACTTGTGTCGGTCTTTACAAAATTCTTTGAATATACACTACTTTGACAACGAAGAGACCATCAAACGGCACTTAGGCACTAAGTAATATTTGGCATTGTAGTTCTAAATTCCAATACAATATGTTTTCACTTTGTCTTAAATAACTTAGTTCATTTATTTGGGTTTATTAAATAGTCTTTTAAGCGGCTGGAAACAATATTTATGTTTTACATTCATTTAAATCATATTATAGTCTATCACTTTGAACAATAACTTTGAATTCGAAGTTAGTGGAATTTCCAGGATAAAGTCTTTTGTAATTAGGTTTTAAATTACGGAATATAATACTAACTTTCTTCGTCACTATTTTTTTTTTCGTTTATTCTTCATAATATACTTAAAATAAAAATAGTCTTTCTAAAAACTGTACTCATAACTTTAAAAAGTCGCCAGTTTTCTCAAAATTTGTTCTATAAATCTCAGACTTAGAGCTGTATTTTAAGACCGGAATTTTTATAATTTAATTTCAGATTTACCCGAAAGATCGTCGTTGCCAGTGGTTAATTTTATTTTACGGTAAATAATTATTGAATAACATTGATATTTATGTTTTAAAATGTTTTCCTTTGATGCTTTGATATCGCGCGGACTTTTTACCCAACTCAATGTGCATAAATTATTCCAGATAATTTTGAAAGTCCGTTTATTTAATTGCAGTTTTCAATCAGTTTTGAGTAGATAATTATAATTCTCAAAGTAAATAAATATCTATTTTAAGACGATAATGGAAACAAAAAATTGTGGCAAGTACAATTTTTTTTTCAAAATAGCTGTCTTTCTCTATAAAACAAGCCACAAAAAGAGCAGATTTTGAAACCTATTTTTTATGTTAACACGCGACGGGATTAACAAGTCTTGCTTCTGGTGGAAAGGGCACGCCTATCCGTTACAGTTGCACTGCTACTCAGAGCTTTAAATTACCATTGCGCCCGTCACCTTGAGACATGAGTTGACAAGTTCACATGCCTGTATTTTTACCAGCACCCTTTTTAATCGGAACGCAGTAATGTAAGTATTACTGCTTGGCGGCAGAAATAGGTAAAGTGGTAATACTTCCCTGGACGATTCATTCACAAAAAACTCCACTGCTGCTAAATTCGTCAATTGCACGCTTGAACGAATTCAGACTTGGATAAAACTTCCAGCTCGCTCGAATAAATTCCACAGAGAATATCTAGCGGTTTCAAATCTGGTAAATCGTTCTCTAACTATCATTGTGCGGATTTAGGAGAAATGAAGCACGGGAGTTGAAACGTGGTGCTTTCGCCTTCATAACCGCTGCTAGAAACAGAAATATCTTGGCTATCTCTATTTCTGTTTCTTTTAATATATGCTTTTTTTTCACAACATCAGAAAAAAGGATTCTGAATTCGAATGTTTTGTTCGTGTGTATGTTAGGTCCCATTTGTGAATCGATTTTGACGATTGTTTTTTTTTTGTAGGAACGGGGGTATCTTAGTAATGGTCCCATTTAAATTTGAAAAATATTCTACCTCTAATGTCTCGATTAAGATTATCATTTCATAACTTCAACACTTATATTAAAAGTATTCTAATTGGAAAGTCGTATTACAAAATTTAAGACTACGTGTTAGATAAAAATGTATGGAAAGACGACATGGCTCTAGATTTCATTCTGCAAATTTGATTCAAAGTGCATTCCATAGCATTCAAGTACATTTTAAAAGAGCAATCCCTAGAGTTTCTTGCTCGTTCTTCTCAGGGAAGTCATCACAGTCAATGAGCAGTGGCTTAAAATGTTACGTTTTCAAGTGTAAATTTATTTTACTGGAACAAATTATTTTATTTGAAATTTGCTGATAATGTTGTAAGTACATACCTATGTCCAATCTAATCCAAATACAACACTTAAAAGATTTTACTGAGCTAGAGGCACGTTCCAATATCAAAATTATTATTTTTTTAAATTCTGTGGTTTGAAAACATATTAACATACAAGATAAAAGTCCATCGGTTTTTGTCGAGTAGAGAAGTTCCTGTGTATTCAAAATTAAGAAAAAAAAGTACACAAGCAGTTAAGTTAGTTGACTTCGGCCGTACTTCAGAAATAACTTGTGCATAAAATTTTTGTAAGAGCTCTTATGATTTTACAACGTTTCGACGGTTACAACTTATTCTTAAAAATTAATATGTAATTCATTGTGAGTAAAAATAGCGTGCTGTGTTAGTTGTTTAAACCAGGAATCTTAATAACACTTACAAAATAAACACCCGCAGCCCTCCGTTTCAGTTGGGAGGTTGATCAGTTAGCCACCACGCCTGTGTCACACACGTTAAAACCAATTGTCTATAAGTTGCAAGTATAAATGGTGTTTAAGAAGAATAAAGGCCTGTTCAGATATTAGCGATATTGGTTACCGCTGTGGTTGGACGATTATAACAATAATAATATATTTGCAGTAACTGTGGTGTACATAGTGGGATTAACGTATACTTCTATTAACACGTTCTCACACTTAGCTAGTAATAGCATGCAAATTTACTACAATTTTAGTGTACTTATCTTAATTATTAAAATATTTTATTCAATTATATACGTAATAACAAGTCGCAATAATGTCAAGTTTAAATAAATATCTAATTATTTCATTACACATTGTATTTGAGTGTTTGAGTGATTACTTGACATCACAATAATAAATGGTAATTAATAATTGATTTCGCTACCCATAGTGGTAGCGGTAGGTATATGCTTGAGTGTAAACAGTGGGAATACCCGGTACGCACAGCGGTAGCGAATAACACGTATGTCTGAAGAGGCCTTAAAAAATGGATTCGGATGGTAATGCCGTAGTAATAACTTTATTGTTATCTTCAAATCATTTTCGTCGCGTATTTACGACATTTCTCTACGGTAAATAAGGCTACGAAGTCGTAATCGCTTGTATCTACATAAACATTGTGTAGTTGTCACCAGACGTGCATACGTCACATACTCTTCCTACGTTTTGGTGCAAGCAAAGAGATTGTAGCAAGTTTTTAGTCACAACACATCATCGCGGTCAGCGTACATCAACCCACTGCTGGGTATAGGCCTCTTTTTTATTGCGCAGAAAACGGGAGTGGGTGGGCGCGTGGCGGGAGCACGGCGGGTGTAATTCCGTAACGATAACACACTATCTGCGGGCGCGGGACGGGCACAGGTAATGCTCCCGACCTGACACGCACTCGACCCGCACCCGCTGTCTGTGTGTTTCACGTTTTAGGGCGCATTTATTTGACACGAGTTTTATCGCCGACCGGAGTATGCGGACGTTTGATGGTCATGGCAAAATATGCTCTATTTGTTTAGCTTTTACGTTTTAACTTAGAGCGTCCCGGACACGCGGTCGTCAAGCGGATGTCTTATTCAGAGAATTATCTTGTCTTATGCAGGGCCGGTAGTCTGCCCACGGCCTTTTTGGCCTCCTCTTGACCACCATTCCGTGACTGCTCTGGTCCGTCGTCCGTCAAAAGTCTCAACCCATCTACCAACTACCTAGTCAATCATTTCCACGTTAGACCACCATGTTATACTCTAGACTTCTACTAATTTCTATTTGGGTTCGTCTTGGTGACTGCTACACTAGAAAAATGTAGAATTAACAATTATATATATATTACATATAATTGGCTCGTATTTTTATAAGGCCCGCAGCTAGTTAGGTATATTATTTGTTTATGATAACCTCTGCACTTTGGGGGTATCCATAGAGACTTACATACAGCAGTAGGCACTTGCATATTTAATGCTATATATCATAAAATTAAAGGGAAAATCATAGTGATTTTCTTGTGATCCGTTTTAAAGAAATTGTAGTGCATTTTGTCTACAATCTATTTGTGTGTGTCGTGTTTGTTTCATGCCAAGTTCAACGCGTACACATTTATCGTTTCATGCTGTCGGTGCTGTGCTGAAGCAGCGCAGCACGCTGGTATTGCATTCTACTTGAAACAATTTCTCAAACACACGTTCGTCGATGAAGCTTATGTACCTTGAAAAGTTGGGCGAAGTACTGGCTGCATGATGCCAAGACAAGTCTGTGGGCTTTCACTGAAGTACCACTCGCGCTTAGTGTGACGTCAGTAAGGGTCCCAGTGCTTAGCATGCGCCCTAGTGCGCCTATTACGCTGTTCTGAAAAATAATCAGAAATATTGTCTGCACTGAAAGAAACGTACCAACCAAGCGGACGTTTTGCTTGTTTGGCGAATTTTTAATTAAATCAATCACCACATGATTGTGTTCATTGCTTAAAATTGATTGGTTCAGATTGAAACAAGCTACTTCTGTGACGTTTTTTCGGTGTGTTTTTTTGCTTTCATTTATTTGTAATTAATTTTCCTTCGTTAAGGTTGCGTGCTTTATAATAAACCTAATAATAAAATAAGTCTTTTTTTGTTATTATTCATCGTTTGGATTCGGGAAGAGGATTCAGCTGTTTTTTAATTCCTACAGATGTGTCTTTGTTGTGATTGTAGGTTGAGTATATACTAATTATCGTAGTGAACCTATTTTTTTTATATTGAATTTCTCATGCATTTAAAAGGCTATTGGTAGCTTGTATAATATAGGCTTCGTCTGTGGTTTCACATTTTCTACCACATTTATGTTCTTAATTTTTGTAATTGATCTACATACTCCGTACTCCATTCCGAGTTTTATAAAGAATTTACTTAGTAGTAAGAACAGTTTGCTACCAGGACTGCGACAGAAGCAAAAAAAAAACAACGAAGAAATATCTAAATATGTACAAAGTATGTATTTACATTTACGTAGCTCTCTTCATCAACTGTCCTCGAACTCTAAGACTAGAACCAATTTAGACAAATTCGTTTCTCAAATTGGTTAAAAAAAAATCTAACGCATCTAGGTCATCATTAACATTATCTATTAGTCGTTTGTCTACCATTTTATATAAGAATGTATGTAATAGTGCTGTGACCCGTGAACGATTTGAGTCGAAAGAGTGACAAAAATAGAGAAAGTGTTGAGGTGGTTTGGGCACATGGAACGAATGAATGAAAGTAGAGAGCCGGAAGAGATATATAGAGCTCGCGTGGAACGAAATCGAAATCGAGAATATTTTTGAAAAGACTGCAATGCCTGTGAGAAAGATGTCAGTTGTAGTGCCACTCAAACTTTTAAATCACAAAGATTAGAAGGGCACTGCCACTGAGTCCGTACGTCATTGCCTGTAATTTCACCAGTACACGTATCAGCACCACAACAAAGTAATGCTCGCATTGCTGTTTCGCGGTAGAAATAGTTTTTCGATATTATTGAGTTCTTAGGTTTTCGCGATTGTTACACATAGGAAATGAAAGTATTTTTCCGGATTTAATATCGCGTATATTTGTTTTTTTTGTCCCATGGTCTCGGTTGACTGAGGTGGTACAGTCTTCAACCAGTTATGTCTAATATTAATGCAAACCACCCTATTTTTTCACTATAGTTGCAATAGTTATTAATTAAGTACCTTATTTTTAATTTTACAAAGAAAACATTCCAATTTACGCTACATTAAGTTTAATTTATTATTAATTATTAATAGAAATTAGAATAAACTCAAACATATTAATTAGTACTGCAGTCTTGTGTCTGTTTGTGATTTTTCATTAGAGGAAATACTGGATCCCAAACTGGTGGTACGGAGAAACCATCTTCCCTGTTGAAATTAGAATGTTTTTTAATTTCAATGGCCTCTCGCAGCATCCTGGGTAGATAACGGACTTCTTTTTAAAAAAATAGGGTGGTTTGCATTAATATTAGACATAACTGGTTGAAGACTGTACCACCTCAGTCAACCGTGACCATGGGACCTGTAAAAGGCCCGAAACGTCGGTTTGTTTGAAAAAACAAATATACGCGTTTTAAATCCGAAAAAATAGTTTCATTTCCTATTCGATATTATTGTAAAGAATAAATGTGAACACATAACTATTAACAAAAAGTAACCCCTAGAGTTACTTACTCATTCTTGTCAGGGTGATCTGTTTTACGACTGCTACGAAGAGTTTAATCTATTTGACGGTTCGGGACCCTACGCCCTCCAAAACCGGAACGCGATAACACTCACATTACTGCTTGGCGGCAGAAATAGGTAAGGTGGCAATACTTCCCTCGACCAACTCTTCCACAAGGAGCTCTACTGTCACTAAACGTACGCATGAATGTAACTCAAAGTCAGGAATTTGACACGATCTGAAGGATCCGAATGAAAATGCGTTGTGCAATTTAATTCACGTGCTAGTTGCGACTGTTGACCAGGAGAGAGGCGATATTGTGCGGAATATAAGACAGAAACGACAACTTTTCATGTCGTTCTAGTTCTATACGCGTTGGTAATAATTATCGCGTTACCTATTCTACATTTAATCTGATCATTGATCAATAATAATAATATAATTGAAGATATCTATGCAGTTGCGGATCTAAACTTAAGAACACAAAATAAATCGCGCTAAATTTTCTAACAAAGCAAGCGCCAGTTTTTATAAATTAAAGCAAAAGCACTATATTACATACTGAGAGGTACAAGTCCGAAAACGTGCATTTAAAAATAGTTTTCTAAATTATTCTATCGCACAAGTAATATACATGTTCAGAAGTTGACGTTGAAGACGGAAAATTAAATAAGGTTACGTACAAAATACACTTATATAAGCGAACGCAAAAGCTTTTAACACAAATCTATGAAGTAATAAAATTGATGTTTCAGTGTACCTGAGCTCGTAGTGTGGTGTGACAAAAAAAAAATTACTTACCTACCTGATGGTTGTGCCAGTGCAAAGAAAATTGTTGCATTTCATCCTCATCCATTTCGACACAGAATTGCACAAATATTAGAAAAGCTTTAGCGAAAGCTGGTAGGAACTCACTATTGGCCGATCGACGCTTGCCCCGTAAGCTCAGACAATAATATTGTTAACCGTATCCAGGCTACTTTATTTTAGTCGGTACGCCTGGAAAACCTGTAGCCACCTATTTCTGGAGCTGATCGTATTTATAAATCCAATGACATTCAGTCAGTGACGCGCCTCACATACCAAAACTCATCCAAAAACAGATTTAGTTCGCTGGGCACGATGATCAGCATCATTGTTCGACTGTTTGGATAGCCCAATTAATCGATAAGTCCAGCTATTTTCACGGAATTTTATCGAGCGATGAATAGCGATGTCGCAAGCGCGGTTCTCGACGACGACCTACTTTATTAAAAGTTTACGATGCATTCAATTAGAGATATAAAACTTCGACTTTTATTAATTGAACACTTTTTTAAACTCTTTTGATTAACATATAGAGCTGTTTCGTTTACGAATATTAACATATTTACAAAAGTAGTTACGGTTGTGACTTTTCTGGCGCTGTTACTTTTTTATCGATGCTACTTTCCCTGTCGCTGTTACTTTGCTATCGCTGTTACATTTGTACTGATATTGATCGTGATAGAAACTACAGCATGTCATAGACGGTTCGCAACCCTTGGTAAACGTGTAAAGTCCCCAAACCACATCTGGCCAGGGGGGTGGTGGACTTGGTCAAAACCAGTTTGTTGTGGGATTATGATGTTGTTTGAATTAATATTATTAATTATTCATCAGGTCTTTTAATTGTATATGCCTAGTGTTTTTTTTTGGTATTAAACTCTAGAATTTTGCCGTTGATGAATTTTTTTAAATATATCACACAATTATATGGAAAAAAAGAACAAGTTTATTTCTTTCTTCTTACTTTTACTTACTTAACGACATTAAGGTCGAGACTTCCTAGTAAGTATTATTTACCTGTGGCAGGAAGACCCGCTCTTCCATTTTCTCTTTATTAATAGAAATAAACTACGCAAAGCACTCTTTTTTGCATAGAATTGTAAGTATTTACGAGGACAGATTCAGAGACGTTGATATCTTCTTTCTGAACCGCAGTCAATTAATTAGTTCTTTGAAGAACATACTCAATTTAAAGTTAATAAACAGGTAATAATAAACAGAGCCGACACACACACACACCCATGCATGTATAATATAACTCATGCATGATTCCATTGTATTAATTATTGTTTTTCGTAACTTCATTGTGCTTAATTTATTTGAAATTTAATGTAACTTTAAATGAATTGTTTAAATGACAAATGTAAATGGGTAAGTAAGTTTGTGATATAAGATTGAATTTCAAATGCTGTAAGGTTTGCAAATAAATGAATGAATTATAAGGTAAGGATGTTTACGAGTGAAACAACTCAATGACGATACAAGACTGATTTATTATGTCGGATCATCATACCTATATATACGAGTATCTATATACACACTACACCTTCCCCGGAGGGGGTTAATAAAATAAAATGACAGTTTTATTTTATTATAGTTTTAGCACGTACATACTTATGTAATATAATTGTATAGGTTACAATATTTTATACATAGAAAATACCACTAAATAATTAAAATTAATGAGTACAATTCAGCTTATTAATTCAAGAGTAAATATTGGTAATAATAGTCGATATAAATTTTTATTTATATAATTCAAATTATTAATTCACGAGTAAATATTAGTTATAATAATGTTACATTTTGATATATTTAGTAATTAAAAATTGACTTCAATTTATAATATTATTAATTCGCTATAATTACCTAAACTAAGTAGAATCAGAACTTAAATTTTACCATTACATTTTATAAGGTTTAGTGCGATTTTTATGAACGATTACTTCTTTACCGTTTTTCAAAATCTGTACGTTGCAACCTAAATCTTTGATTATTAAAAATGGACCTAAATATACCTTATCAATTTTTTTTCCTTCTTCATTTTTGACTAACAAGTAATTACCTACTTTGTATATTTTTGGATTTAGACTTATATCGTAATTTACCTTTCTCTTCACCTTGCTTTCAAGTAAATTCTTTCTTGCATCTTCTTGAGCCACCTGTAATCTATATCGGAACTCTTGTGGATAGCTATCAAAGTTGTATAGTGGGTCTATGCCAGAATCATAATTATTAGGTAGTTTACAAGTTTTACCAAAAACTAACTCGTGTGGCGTGTATTTAGTCTCTGTATGCACCGTGTTGTTGTGTGCGAAGCACCAGTAGGGTAACCAGCTGCTCCATGAGTTAGGACGATTTTCACAATATATTCTTAAATACGCACCTAACGTCTTGTGTGTGTTTTCCAATGCTCCAATTGACTCGTGATGGTAAGCGGTTGATGTCAGCTGTTTAATTTTGAGAAGTTGACATACCTGTGCCATGGTGTTCGAAACAAACTCTGTGCCACGGTCGGTCGCGATTTCACGCGGGATTCCGTATCGTAAGATAAAGTTATTTACAAACGCCTTTGCAACTGATACAGCGTCCTTGCTGTGTAAGGGATACGCTTCCACGAATTTCGAGAGCTCGCATTGTAATGTGAGCGCGTAGCAATGACCTGTATCATCCTTAGGCAGTGGACCAACTATATCCAAGTAAATTTTTTCTAGCGCATAACTTGACGTGGTTGTAATTTCCATAGGTTGTTTTGTTTTGATACTATGTTTTTGTTTCTGGCACTGTTCACATTTTGATACAAACTGATTAATGTCCCTATCCATACTAGGCCAATAGTAAAACTTTTTAATATTATTAGACATTCGCCTGATGCCCGCGTGGCCACTAGTGGGCAAAAGGTGAAAGTCATTAAGTATGACTCGCTTATCATCTTCGTTATTTATTCTTTGCACACTTTTAAGTATATATAGTCGTGGTCCGGACCATTGTGTGCTTGCCTTTATTTCATTAACTATTCCTGCAATAAACTCTTCGTTATTTTCATCTTTTATAATGCACACTTCTTCTATGCTTAATTTCCTACATAAATTAGATAAATCTCTCACCAATACGTCTCGCGTGATTGATGATCGAGAAAATCTGTTGAGGAAAATACTTGACTGGCTTGCCACATAGGCAAAGTAATTCGTTCTCTTTGTTATTAGTCCCTGTCTTTCAAATTTGTCTAATTTATTTTTATTTATTAATCTTAGTTCTATCAAATTTCTCGGTTTTTTAATTATCTCCACTACCCTTGGTTGATCAGGCCTCGAGTATTGGGGATGATTATTAGCCGTTAAATTCGGGTCATACTGCGCCTGTTTGCTTTCTTGCAACCTTCTCGCTTGTGCTCTTGTCATCATATTCACTGTACGTTCACTCATTTGTTGTAAATCTTCTGAACTTAATATTATTCTTGATAAAGCATCTGCTGCCGAATTTTTTACACCTTTTATATATTCTATCACAAAGTTGTATTCCTCTAATTGTAATCTAAATTTCATTAATCTACTCGTGGGATCACGCATCCCAAATAAGTATACTAGTGGTCTGTGGTCTGTTTCTATTTTAAACCGCCTGCCGTAAAGGTAAGGTCGAAAATACTTTACACTCCACACTATCGCCAGTAATTCTTTTTCGATAGTGGGATAATTCTTTTCAGCTTTATTTAAACTACGACTTGCGTAAGCCACTGGTCTACCATCCCTATTGCATAGTACCGAACCTATAGCTATTCCAGATGCGTCGGTCTGCAATAGAAATTCGTTATTATTCGAAAAGTCGGGGTACTGAAGGACTGGTGAGTTTGTGAGAGCCGACTTTAATTCTTGGAATGCCTTTTCACAGTCTTCTGTCCATAAAAATGTTGCTCTTTTTGTACATAATTTATTAAGAGGATAAGCTTTCTCTGCGAAATGTGTGATAAATTTCCTGTAGTAATTAGCGAACGCTACGAAGCGCTTCACTTCTTCTGTGCTTTGAGGTCTTGGGTAATATTTTAAAGCCTGAGTTTTTGACGGATCAGGTGATACGCCGTTTTCGGATACCACGTGTCCGAGGAACAGAATTTCTTTTTGTAAAAATTTGCATTTTGCAGGGTTTAATTTTAAATTTACTTTTCGTAAGCGCGCTAACACATCCATCAGATTTTTATTATGGTTTTCTAAATTTCGGCCAAAAACACATAAATCGTCTAAATAAATCAAACATTGTTCATAGTTCAATCCTGACATTGCAACTGTAATCATCCTAGAAAACGCGCTAGGGCTAGTTTTCAATCCCATAGCTAATCTCGTCATCTGATATTGGTTTTTAGAAGTTGTAAATGCAGTGTATGGACGGCTGTCTTTATGCAAATTTATTTGATAGAAACCCTGGTACAGATCCAGTGTTGTGAAGTAAACTGCTCCGGATAGTGAATCTAAAATGTCGGAAATATTCGGCAGAGGAAACTTGTCGTCTTGAATTTGATTATTTAATTTTCGATAGTCTAGGACTACACGCCATTTTTTGATACCCGATGGGTCTACCTTTTTTGGTACTAACAATAGTGGGCTTGACCAGGCACTCCTAGTTTCTTCTATTACTCCATCAGCTAGCATTCTTTGTATTTGTCTATCAATTTCCGCTTTTTGAGCTTGCGGAAGTCTATAAGGCTTAACATATATAGGAGAGCTTTGTGGTTTTAAATGTATTGTTTGCTCATATAAGGATGTAGTTGTTAATTTATCGCCTGACAAAAAAAAAACGTCGGGAAATTTAGCGCAAATATTTTCGATTGACTTTTGCTCTTCATCATTCAAGCTATCTAATTTTAATAGTGAAAATAATTGCTTGACCCTTTCGGCATTAATTGTTGGTGTATTAAATTGGCATATGAAATAATCACTTAATTTTGTAGTATATAACCTAAAGTAATTTAATGTTACGTCTTCATCTCTCGTGTTCATGATCTTATAGGGTATTTTTCCGTTTATCGGCCTTCCTATAGTATTAGCTATGTAAACT